AAAAGTACTGATACTCAAAAAAGTATGGATACTAAAACGTTGTATATGGATACAATACTCATTTTCAAAAGTATCGATACTACCATTCTCTCTCTGATTTATTTATTTATTTACGTTGTTTATGATCATTAACATGACGTTAGCCTTGAATTGCTAGCTGCTAGCTGGTTATTATGGCTAATAATATCACACCAACATTAATCAAGTCTGCAGGAAGCCAAGGATGGATATCCAACTCCCCCACATCCAAGTCGGCCATTTTGATTAAGCCACCAATAGGAAGATCCCAGGCAAGAAAATCTTAATTGCTTCATGGCAATATAGACATTTATTTAAAAATAGTGAAATTAATCTTGCAAACACTGAATTAAACTCTATACATGATATTATGTTAAAATAGTGGATGTTAAATAGGTTTGTACAATAAGTCCGAAGAAGTTTAACCAAAAAATATTTATTTCTCATAATTATGAAGGGTTAGGGTTAGGTTTAGGGTTAGAGTTAGGGTCATTAATGTGGGCCACCATAACATCAGTAACGGGTCAGTTTGAAACCAAAGACAGTAACCTGTCAAAATTCAGTTAAATTTTGGGGTCTTTGTTTTTATCCTTGTGGTATCGAAAACGGTATCGAGTATCGAACATTTTCCTGAGTATCGGTATCGACTTGCAAATGTTAGTATCGTGACTAACCCTATTATGTTTTGTTTTGGTGATGGTTGTTTGAGCTTTAGTTCTTTTAGTCATGTATGATAGGGGGGAAACATTCTTAAGCCATTTCAGAGTTATACATCACAGTCCTTACTATTTTATTATTGATAAATGGCCTAATAATCTGGAAAAAAAACCCCAATGACCTGTAGAAAAGAGTTTTAAAAAAACAGAGCACGATAACCATCATCACCACACGCCTAACTGAGAGTTAGCGGAAGCAGGTTTGTCGTCTTGGATCAGTTTTGGGACTGAAGTGGCTAAAAACCTTTTCCTTGCCACTGTTGCAGGACGTGAAGGATTTGACTCGTAGAGGTTGATTAAAAACGTACGTGATCCGATGTAAAAAATGACTCGTTTTTTGCAAACGTAAACTTACAAAAACTTGCCAACATAAATAAAATAATTAACTTCACGATAAGAATAAAACAAAAAGTCAACCTTACGGTAAGTAAAAAACCAAAACGTGAATCTTACGGTCAAAAAAGTGTTGCTCCTCGCCCTGCTCTGTTACCTTTTCTCTCGTACTCTGCAAACTGCGCACCTTTCGCTACTTAAACAGGACATCAAAGGAGAAAATGATCTATCAAATATCAAATGCGGAAAAACAATACAAAATAAACCCAAATGCCTATCAATAAACTAAACATTCTACATGCTTCACAATTAAATTATTCTAATCAGCAGATAACAAAACACAATATCTATATGGCTCTAACAGGGACCAATCCGTTCTCTTGTTTTCTTTTTTTCTCAGGAGCCCTGACCAGTTCTGTCCCGGATGCAGCGGCTTTAAGGAGCAAACAGCCCCCACAGGGGGGGAACGTCCCAAATGGCTCCGCCCAGGTAAGGACGGCAGCAGCTAGCACTGAAGCTCCCGGCAGCTTCCTCTTTTATCCGTTCGTTTTTGTCGACTTATTTATTGGTTTTAATAGCCTGTGGATGTGGACTCCAGCTTGCTTACACTTACACACACACACACACACACACACACACACACACACACA